GTCGTGTTGGTGAATGACGTTATGTGACGGTGACAATAAAAAACTATATTTATCAAAGATTTAAATTTCAATATACATTGCATTTTCTTAAGATATGGTACAATAAATAGACTGGATTCCAACCTAGGCGACGCCTGTACTTAATTTTGTAACTTGTACTGTATTTTATAAGTGGTACTTTTGTCTCCTCTTAAAAATAAAAATTAGTGTTTGATTGATTGTTCTCTGTGCCTTCCTAAAGAAATTATCGTCGTGATGAAACTTTTATGTTGTTCCGCGTATGCCCGTGGAGGATTATGATGCCAAAAAAAGAAGCATATTTGTCTAATATGCAAATAATAAAAATCTCCTATAAATACTTTTTTTCTTTCACATGGCATCGCATGTGGGTTACTGCTAGTTACTTCCCATGTAGTCCATTGGTATTGGATCTTGGACTCCGGAGATACGTAGGGAACTCCTGAAAATCTGTTATAAAATGAAGACAGAGCGAGATATTTGAAATCGGTTTTGTTTTTCGTTAATAAATATGGACTTGTCATCGCTGGGTTTCATCTACGCCTCATTCAGTAGCAAATCTTCGTCAAATGACCGTTCGTTACTTAGTGCTAAGGCAAGGCACAAGAAGAAAGAGGAAAAATATCATGGTCTCCCGGAACAGCTACGAACTTCCTGTATGTGCTTCGACGTGCTGCTATGATTATGATAGCTTTTAAATTACAAAATACGATGTCATTTACCGTATTTTTAAATACTAGTGGTCGCCCATTTGTCCAAATTGGACCATAATTAATCATGTTGGGCACATGGTACTGTGTGTAATGTTTTTTTATTGATTTAATGTATTTTGAATGCATAATTAAAACAAAATATTAACATTCTACACTCCTCTATATGAACTTTAAGTGTAGGGAAATTTCATACTCCTCCGTCCGCACTATTTTCATAAAAAGGGGTACAAATATTTTGCTTAATATATAGATAGAAGATACCTTTTGTTACAGTAACATGCGAGATTAAAGAGTTAACCGTTATTTGTCATTCAAGAATCCGACGTACATCGCTAGCGTTGAAGAATGGATCGTCGGCAATTTTCACATTAGGGATGTCTGACAATGTTGTCACAACGATGTGACGGGGGCGCCCCCGCTATTGTGCCTTATTGCATTGTTGGCGGAACCCGGATGGGGGGGGGGGGAGGAGCGGGGGCCTTTCGTAGATCCGCGCACAAAGGGTCCAAAGAGATTCCACGCGTCTTAATTGAGAGCGAAGACGGGGAGCATTCTTGTTTTCTTTTCGGGGGAGGGATTTCTGTGGAGGATGCGGTGCTGTCCGTGCGTCTATAGAGGAAGAGTTACGGAAAGTTACTTGAATGAATGAAAACTGGAGTCTCTACGTATCAGAGTAAGGTTTTTTAGCCGACAAAAAAAAAGAAGGAGGTTTCTCAATTAGATCGTATATATTTTTTGTGTGTTCGCGAATAACTTCGTCGTTCGTGAACCGATTTTGATGATTCTTTTTTTTTTGGTGAAAGGAGATAATCTAAGCGTCGTACGTAGATAAAGAGAACCGGATCTGATGATGACATCCGAGGGAAATCGGGGGCCATCCTCAAATGTTGAAGGTATTAACAATGTTTTCAGTTTCCTCTTTGAAGTCGGTTATTTTTTTGGTTAAAAATAATTGAAATAGCGTCACGTAAATCTCTTTAAAAAATAATCATTATCACGGGCATTGCTAATAACTGAACTGTAAGAAGTATATCTTAATTAATGATCTATTTAATAAATATTTTATTAAATAGATGGCAAACGTATGACTAATGACATTGAAGACGCTTAAATAGATTAAATGCATAAACGTTTGCCGAGATTCTTTTGACCGCGTATTGAAAGCAAGACTGATTACGATGTTACAAACTCACAAACTGTTATAGCCCAAGCCTATCCGGTTAGAGGTAAAACTTGGTCTAAACTTAGCCGATCCCGGTTTACAAGTGAGACGGTGAGTTGACTAATTGCTTAGCCCGTCGTCGCCTCCTCGGTTACGGTCTATTTGAGCGAGCCGAAGAGGGCGCCGATTTACGTCTAAAATAGCAGGCGAATTTAACTTATTCACTTGACACAACTTGATTATATTTTAAGAATTCCGTATCACCAGCAATAGTTGGGAGATTGATTGTGGATTGTTGGTATTCGTATTTTCACAACGTAAATAATTAAACTAAGTAACAGCTTATAATCATGTCCCACTGCTTGGCAAAGACCGCCTCTGAACAAACCCTCTGTTCATCAGGGCATGGTCCACCACGGGACTCTACTGAATATTCTTCGATCTCACTTACGTATATTCGAAAAATAATCGGTTTTTTTTTTTTCAAAAGTATGTAGGTTTCCTTACATTATTTCCTTCGCCGTGATAGGTCAGCGAATAAAATTGACAATTTCATTGAAGCCAGCACCGGGGATAGAACTCGGGTTGCTCGAGTATATTTTTAAAGCGAGCGCCCGGACAATGAGCTGTCACGGCTCTGTTATTACGAACATATTATTTGATGGTCATACAAACATTATATTTCACGAGGGAACTGAACGGTCTGCAGACGTGAAGAGACCTTCAACTTAGCAAGCGAGCTAAACGAGACACGAGAGATCCACTGCTATACACTATGAATATCCGATACACCTTGAAGGATGATTAATAACTGCACTATAGATTAGACTCGATACCGACGTGAAGTGCAGTTTGCGTACAGAGCATGAGAGATGACTCCGTGGCGCAGTTGCACAGGTATTGGCTTCGGCGTCGGGGGTCGTGGGTTCGATTCCCACACGGGACAACTATTTGTGTGTCCCACAGATAGTTGTTTCGCATCTGTCTGCGTGAAATTTATGTTTGTAAAACGTCATTACAACACAGGATAATATTATCCTAAATTAATGGAAAAGTTTTTATGAAAAAAAAAAAAAACGAGCTTTAAGCACTTAACAACTTCGTGGTAAGCCAGAGCCAAAGTTATCGCTTCAATACGTGCAATTTTAGATCTTTAAATAGATTTTTAATATCTTTTTATCGTGTAGACTGATTGATTTTTGACCTTGATTTTTATACACCTGATAAAGACTATAGACAAAGAGGGTATAAATTTCAACTTGCGATGCCAACCGTTCCTGAGAAAATCGGTAGTGACACACGGATAGACAGACAAGAGTGATCTAATAGGGGTTTCTCTTTAAGGTTAAAGGTACGGAAGGTTAGAAGGTTCTAAGGTACGGAACCCTAAAAACATAGAGAGCAATTTCGCGTGTCACCGTTCGTCCTCCAACGTTTATCTCAATCGTGGTACTTCATATAAGAGCAATGCGACCAGTCTCCCATTTTGGTGTTGTGAATAATCCAGGCCAGCCGACGGTTGCGGTGATGCTGACAGATCAAACGGCCACAACATTTCGCGATAAAATCTAATCGGGTCCGTCACGGTCAAAAGTAAACTTTCAATGGCTGAATGTAAGAAACGGGTTTCAATGGCTCACGAATTTATAGAATTGGGGGACATCAAAAGGTATTTAGAGACGTAGTATTTTACCAGCAACTTGGAAATTTTGTTATTAAAACTACAGTTCGAAATCATTCTTGATATATTTTCTATACATTTTTGAAGCGTAGAGTATATCCTTATTGTCATTTTTTTTCACTAAGTACTGTATTGGCCAATTCTTGGTCATTACTGAAAATCGGCGTTGTAATTTTTAATGAAATTACCATATTCGTACAGCAAAAATTATATATATATATATATATATATATATATATATATATATATATATATATATATATATATATATATATATATAGAGGTTGTGTTTCGTGTTAATCATTAGTATTTTGTACGTCATTTGTGTTGCGTCTGGTAAACCTTTTTCTTTATTTAATATCTCAACTGAACTGTTCGCTCGCTTGCCAACTTTTCATTAAAAAAAAAATCAGCAATCATCTCTTCAGTGTATAGAGACACTGTAAATATAATCAATTTGTTAACCGAGAGACGTTTAAACAAACGAACGCCGTGTACACAGACGATACTGAGAGTCCGTCACTAATTAGTGACATGGGACCGGCACTCTGTACTGGAAATAAATAAGGTCACAAAAGAAAAGAAGAAAAATTTTCTAACGGGAGATATAAACTTGCGAGATATGAAATGACGAAGAAGAACAAGTATTGTTCATTACATTATCCCAATGCTTCTACAAGTGAAGATGATAATAAAGTTTAGCGGAATTCATGACCATTCTGTAGCCCATGCTGCGGCAAGCAGATTGAAATTAAGTCAACAAGAGTAAGGATAATGTAAAAACAATGCCAAATAAAAATAAATGCATTAATATAATAATGTATCTGTTACTCACTGTTGTTGTAGATCTGTGAAGTTGAAGTTGCGAACGGTAACAATTTACATTTAATTAAAAAAACCATATCTAGGGCTAATTAAATAGAACTTTAGTGGAAACATTTTGAAATAGAATAAATTATTTAAGCCTGGTAATCTTTTTTTTTTTTTTCATTATATAAGTACAGAAAGGGTCTTAAGTATAAAATTGGCGGCAGCTAGGGGACTTGCAAGTGCAAATCAAGAGTCATTTCCTCAATGTATTCTAGGCCCTGTTCATTGGTGAAGCTATTACAATGCGATGATTATACATATATAAACCTTCCTCTTGAATAACTCTATCTAGTAAACAAGACCGCATCAAGATCCGTTGCGTTGTTTTAAAGATCTAAGCATATATAGGGACAGACTGACAGCGGGACGATTTTGTTTTATACTATGTAGTTAAGTAAAATAAATATAAAGTAATAGACTATAAATCGACATCCATTTGTTCTGTTATTAGTGTTCAACTATCGAAAACGCAACTGACAGTTACAAAGCTCACCCGAGCCATTTACGCAACCGTTCTCGCATTTCGCCGAGCAATTCATCAGAGCCTATACCCAGAATGCCAGGTCGATCTGTTAAATGGTCACGAACCGGCCGCCGCGAAGAGGAATCGCCGAATCGGCAGCCCTGTCATTCGGAACTCATCGAGGGTTCACAGTCCGTGGAGGCGACCTCGCAACGGCCCACGTACGTGGCGAAACGCTCAATAAGGGACGTGACGTGGAGCGGCATTCCTCAATTCGGCACGGGCGTTGGGAGAGGCGATCCCTTATACGCATATCGTACGTGTTTCGGGAACCGATGGCTACGCAAGCGGGGAATAATAAATAAATATTTCAGGAGGTATTTTACACAACACTATCTGGTCCCAAACAATGCAAAGCTTATGTTTGTTAGCTTTACTGTGGTAGGGCCGCGCAACAGTGTTCGCTGTTGCACGAACGGGCAGGTGTTTCCGGGGAAGTACCGCAACTTCACAGAAGGCCGGCGCCAAGTCTGATGAGTGAGGTAACCGGTGCCCAATATATTGAAAGGTAGCTACGCATTTGTTACGGGTGTTGCAAATGTCCATGGGCGGCAGCTGTCACTTAACATCAGGTAAATCGCCATCTCGTTTACCATCTTCTTACCTAGAAAAAGGTTGTACTATCGATACTAGTTAAGTGATGAACATAAGTATGTGTATGTTCCGTTGTAAATCAACAAATATAATAGATACATAAACACGAAACATATAATAGATACATGAACTCTCTATAAAACGCTATTTTCATCGTACAATTTTCTACCAGTAGTTGGGATCGAACCCACACCCTGTCGCACAACAGTCCAGCCCACTATTCACTACGCCGGTCGGAGCGTCGAGAAGTGGCGCCCGCATACGCGGTTCGCACGTGCTTCGGGCACCGATGGGAGCTAGCTACCCCAGATCGAGCCCTACGTGAAGCCTATTAGGACACTAATCACCGAGATCGACGAGAAGAACGTTTCAACAGAAATGACTGGTATTAATAAAGGGCATGACAAGGTTACACAATAGGATCATTGTTCACAGCGAGGCAAGTAACAATGTTCTACTTAATAAGTTAGTCAATTTAGTTAGAAAGTTAATTTAGAAATATAATGTAATTGTCATCGTGGTAGGGCCACGTAATAGGCAGGCTCGTTCGGACCATGGCTTCAGAGAAGACCGACTTAGACCGGGGCCTGAAGTGTTGTACTTGTCCATGGGCAGCGGTAATCACTTAACATCAGGTGAACAGCAAGTTCGTTTGTCAATTTTTCACATACGTTTATGCAATGCATTCGCTAGTTTTGACCTATGTTATCCATCCCAGTTGCTTAATACAGGCGGAATACTGTTCAAAACGACATCACATCTAACCAGCCTTCCTGCATTAAATGGACGTTAACTCAGGCGCCACAACGACGAAATATACATCATAGCATCATTGTCACTCAAACAATCGCCGTCCGCCATTGTGGCTGCGGAGCATGGGATGGGGCCGGATCGGCGACGACGTGCGTCAGCTTCCACGGCGGCAGAGTGAGAGAGCAGCAGACCGTCCCACTCTTCCACGGGCCCAATTACGGCCCATACAATGCCCGCTGAACAAAACGCAGACCCACCGCGTCGGCGATTGTTCGCGGAACACTGACGCGCGTCGATCGTTGATGAGAAAGACTATGTGGAGCAGTCGGCCAGTGGGGGAGCTTTTGCCGTCGAAACACCACTCGAAGGGAGACGCGAACTCAGCGAGAACATATCGATATTTTAATTACCGGCTTACTGCACGTCAGTATAGGTAAAAGCTTGGAGATATGAATATTTAAGGGAAATTAATCTTTAAGCGAGATTTTTTTATGAGAAAGGTGACAAGCGAGCAGGCGGTTCACCTGATGTTAAGTGATTTCCCTTGAAGATTTACATCACCTGACGGATATTAAAAGCGGAGTCAACTATTAAAGAAGTGCACCCCGGTTACCTCACTCACCAGACGAAACGCTAAAATATATAGTTGGACCTAGGAACTTGGACCTAGCTGTCTCGATGCCACTCGTAAACGAAGTCTATCGCATAAAGTATCAAGTGTCGTACATCTAGATGAGTAAAGCCTATACATGTTTTTCTTCTGGGCACCGACCACCCTGTACAACCTCTGTAAGGAATATAGTTGTCTGCCGGATAGTTGCCTCGGACGGACACTTGTCCCGGTATTTAATACACCATGTTAGGAATGTAAGTTGTGTTCCTGCTTTACTATAATCCGCCAAACCGCAGTGGGGCCGCGTGGTGGACTATGCCCTGATACCCTCTGTATAGAGGAGGCATTTGCCCAGCAGTGGGACATGTATAGGCTGTTACTTTTTACTACAATAAGCAGTGACCCCCCCGTAGACCTCAGCGATGCGTAAGCCATCGAAATAGAGCCTCGTGTTTTGTCCGTGTGGGCAAAAATCTTCCGCGGCGAAACTTTGACGGGCATTATAATTACATCGGTAAGTAATTTTTATTGAATATTTTCATTACTAATTGTGGTTCCAGTCAACTTTTTTGTTTCTTTGCATGCATCAGAGTTTAAATTACATTGTTTAATATGTTTTATTGCTAAATAATTTTCATTAATCACGCAAATAAAAAGCCTTTAAAAACCTTTCAAAGCATTGATCAAAATTATTAAGATTTCAAATATGTATCAAAGCAAGTAATTAAATCCAAAAGTTTCCTATCTACGTTCATAAACGCTCATTAAATACTATAATTTGCGTAAACAGAGCTTCATTGAAGAGCGGACAATCATATCAGATTTCAACTTTGTTAGCATCGAAACTCCAAACTTGCAAATAGCGATCCAATCAGCTCACAACTTCGGTTCATTCGGGAATTTTCGATAGTTGGTGAACTTGAAGTGGAGGCGAGCTAGCTTCAACACACTGGACAAACAGCGAAACTAGGACTTAGAAATTGAGCTAATATTGCGATAGGAATGCTGAAGGTGTACGTACTGCAAAGAATTGATATAATTTGCAATGCAAAATTTTCTGCTCTCTCACTCTATCATGAAGTATGAAGGTTAGAACTTAAAATCAGCGCTGTGTTGGGGTATTGACTTCCGGCACAGGATAACGCTGAGTGCTGACCTAATTTACCGATAATTCGGGGGCGTACAATTCTTTTCTTTTAAATTGATTTATTTTTCTTTTTATATCGCCATAGTTTTTTAATGTACAGATTTTGTTTTGTTCTCTTTACTCTTGTGTGTATTATTTGAATTTTTTTTATTTCTTTTATTTTTTTGTAAAATTTTTGTTATGTGCGTCCTTTTTTGGTAAATAAATTCTTTCTTTCTTTACTCTAGAATATTGCAAGCGGCTTTAAAGCAAAGGCAAATAGTTTTTGAAGTGACACTTCTTTTGGCGCGTTTGGAAAGCAATATGATGAAGTTGGTTGCAAAGGGAATAACTTCATGGTAAAGAAACGTGATAGCTCAGTGTCTGGGCGCTCGCCTTTAATTACATTTACTCGAGCAACCTAAGTTCGGTCCTCGGAGCCAGAACCAATGAAATTGTTAATTTTAAGTGCTGAATTATCATGTGCTCGGCGGTGAAGGAAAACATCGTGAGGAAACCTGCGTATTTTCGAAATAATAAAAAAAATATTTCGAAAATATGAGAAGTCCGCCAATCCGCAGTGGGGTCCCGTGGTGGACTATTACCTGATACCCTATTTATAGAGGAGGCCTTAGCCCAGCAGTGGGACATTTATATGTATTACCATGGCAACTAATAACAACTTTTATCTTTTTCACAAACAAGAGTACTGGCATAAGGGGATAAAAGTTTTAGTTATTTTTCTTTTGTTACGCTTAAGAAGCATAACTTCTTACATACGTATACAAAGACACACATACTTTTTTTTTATTTAACTGGTTTATTTTCAATGGTACATGTGAACAGCATCGTAAATTGTTGCGTACACTGACTAGGTCGTTGACGACGGGCGTACAAAAGATTTATTTATATATTTCAGTGTCATTTTCTGATTAAACTTATTACGGATACTTACAAACAAGACGATTATGTATTGAATTTAACGATCAAAGTTTAAGGTACCTCATTACACCCTCGAGAACTCTAACCTCCACCGGTATCGGATATCATTCAGTGACACCCAATCATGGCCCAGACAATCTCAACGCGGCGAACGATACATCAAACATGGCGGCTTGAAAGCTCCGCCGAGACGCGTCACGATTCGACACAGACGTCTAATGAAATAATCCCCGTCATCGGTACGGTATATTTTTCTCCGTAATAGCACGCGACGAGTATTTATGTTGCCGCGTGACGGAGCGCCGGCTGGACACTCCGCGCGACGCGCCGGAGCGGGATGATTTGTCATTAGTCAAATTAGCTAACCAGACGTTGACTAATTGCGTTGCACGCCGAATTACGACACAGTAACCGGGATCAACGAGCGCGCGGGCGATTAATGAAAAGAGCGCCGATTACACGCAGCAGTTGGGGCAGCGGGGGGGGGGGGGGGGGGGGGGGTTTACGCCATTCGTACGGCGAGGTCCGACGAAGCGGTGCGGACATTGCAGTTTTGAGTTTTCTGATGTTAAGTGTTAGTCACTGCCGTTGGACATTTGCAACACCGGACCCCGGCTATCTCACTCACCAGACGAAACGCAGAAGTAAAGCATTTCCACTGCACACCAGTCTCCATTGAGGCCGCGGTACTTCCCTGGACGCACCTGCCTATTGCTGCAACAGCGAAGTGCTGCGAGGACCTACCACAGTTAAAATTAATTACCCCAACAGCGTTGCAGATGTGATAGCTAACCGTTCGTTTTTACCTATACTGGAACAGCCTGAGTGAATTTCGTACGACACCGGCACCAATGAAATATTATAAAGTCAAAGTATCTTTATTCAATATAGGCTTAACTTAAGCTCTTATTGAATGTCAACAAAAAAACTACCACCGGTTCACTAAACTAGACCTGTACAGAGAAGAACCGGCAAGAAACTCTGCGGTCTTATTCTTTTTGTTATTTTTTTGTGATGGAATTATACAAACTTATTTAGGTATAAAATCAGCAGCAGCCCTTGCAGATCTTGCAAGTGCAGAGAAAGAGTCATTTCCACACATCCTTGTCCTCAATGTATTCTTGTACATTATAGTAGGCCCTTGCCATTAGGGTAGTTTTTACAAATTATTTGAAATTGTTTATAGTTAGTTGTTTGTAATATATTTATGTCGTCAAGTAAAATGTTGAAGTGGCATTATGATGTCATAAGCTTAAGGCACAATTGCCATATTATTATCCGGCCATTGCACGACGTAAGGGGAAATCATTCATTTCCAAAGAAAAAAAGAAAAGCTCATATTCACCATATTTCCACACTGAACCGAGAGCAAAACTATGAATATCACGACGCCAGTATTTCGACAAACGGGAAAAGTTGGCGGCAACAAACAGACGCACCAAATAGTCCCATTTCCATAAGCGAGCAAACAGCAGAACAGTACCCGGGGGCGGTATAACAATGTTTTCGAACAATTTTCACGAATACAGTTTCGGGAAAACTCGTTATGAAATACGGAAAAAATGTGGAAAAACCTCAGGACGGATTGCTACCACGCTATATCCATACTAATATTATAAATGCGAAAGTAACTCTGTCTGTCTGTCTCGCTTTCACGCCAAAACTACTGAACCGATTTAAATGAAATTTGGTACACAGATAGTCTAGAGCCTGAGAAAGGACATAGGCTATTTTTTATTGAAAAAAGTGATGTAAAGGGTTGAGAGGTTAAAGAAAGATATTGATTTTAGGGCTTCAACGCAAGAGCAGCCGCGGGCGAAAAGCTAGTTTGATAAAAGATAAACATGTAACACAGAAAAGTTTTTAAACTCGTACTTAGCAACGGGATATTGGCTTGCTATTATGTGGTTGTTTTCAAAATATCTCTTACGGAAGCTCAGAAAAAGGGTTTACAGAAAAATATTCAGGTAATAAGTTTAACGCCCTTTTTGTGAAACACTGCTCATTACCCTCAGAATGATCTTCATTCTGATCAATTCAGAGAGTTTAACAATCCTTTTGGCAACTCAAATAACATTTGAAAAGCCATTTGATAGCTGCCGGGCGTAAGACTATCAAATTTTTAAGAAGAGGCAATCTTAAATAAAATCTGTCAATGGAGTTTGGGGTAATCTAAGCCACCTAAAGTTTCTTAAGCATCTTTGTTAAATTACATCCGGGGCCTCTCGCGAAGATCCCTAGAGCTTTGAAAAACATTACGCCGCTCGAAAAAACAACAGGACCTCTCGTTCGCGTAAACTCCTCAGTTTGTTTAGCGAAACAAACAAACTTTGTAACAACAAAACTTAGATGTTAGAGACCCTTGGGGAACAAGTTACGCGCTTTTGCACCCGACGGGCGAAATGCAAACGATTATGTTTAGCTGGTTTTTTTTTTTTTCAAATACCGCTTAAAAAACCTTGGACCTTCTCAATACACTGACAAAAACAAAACGATGACGGGAACAAAAAGGACTATAAATCAGTAGCAACCAGCAGTTTCGGTTATTCTTCTGTAGCCATTTAAAGGTATAATCTTAATAAAAAAATATTAAGATTACACATCTAATATATTTAGGTATGTATGTATTTAATAATTCGATAAATTTAGTAACATTTTACCCACAATCCTTAAACAGTCTTTACATACTACTTGAAGAAATTGCTTTAAGTAATAAGGCCGCCCAGTGTACAACTCTTACGTAATCGGTATTTTTAATATATATTTTTTTAACCACGGTGTGCGCAATAAAGAATATTCGATGAATCAATCAATGAAGAAGATAAACAAACCTTAATAGTAAGTAATTAATAGAACAGCAAAGTCAAAATTTCTTTTTTCAATATACGCTTATGTTAAGCTCTTATTAAACGTCAAAGAACTACCGCCGGTTGACTACTAAGAGAAGATATGTGACAGAGAAGAACCGGCAAGAAACTCTGCCGTCTTGTTATCTTATTTGTTTAATGTTTGCAAAATTATTAAAGTATAACATCAACGAAACAAAATCAGCTAAAAGAAATACATTAACATTGATACGGTAATTCAGTACATCTAAAACCCAAGGTTAAGACTAACATGTTGAAGTAGACTGTTAAAAGATGATTTGAGATAATTATGTTATTATTTTTTCGCCCCCATTTTTGGCACGGCGAATATGACAAGAAAAATAGATGAGCACGTTGTGGTAATTGACGAACAAACGTACTAGTTCGTTAAATACTACAACGAAACAAATTGCAGGGATTATGTAATGATTTTTTTGTTTACGCGAATACTATAATACATGGCTAAACAAAACTATTTTACGGATTTTATCGAGTTTTATTTTGATTGTTAATTCTTCATGTTTCGAACACTTTACATCATTAGTGCTAGACTCCAAGATATCGTACGCTATCTTTGTGTAGGTCCGAATAAAATAAATAATAAAACAATTGACGGTAGCTCGGTTTAACTCTAACATTAGTCTGACAAACTACTTGGTCTGTCCCATGACACCGAAAGCTGTAGTGTTCGAAACGTTGCTAATTAAAAGTCAAAATAAAACGTTTTGAAATATTTTCTTTCATATATCCAAGTATTATTTGGTCAGCAAGATAGTAACTCAATCGTAACCAAAGAACATATTGGGAACACTGTTCATCCCGTCATCGGAATCCAATACAAAGCGATAAATATCTTCAATTTTGAAACATTTTGATCGTATCCGATTTTTATTCAATTTTACATACAGGTGTTAGTTTTATAGTCGCTTGTTGTTAAATTTATTCTAAACGAATTTTCTATCGTGTTATCTGATAGCTATCGCTCATAAAATCAGACATTCATCTATCTGAAATTGAAGTATTCATTTCTCGATAAACGCCGAAATTTATGTGAAAAATAATATTTGTGATTGTTTTAAAACTTCTGGTTTGTTCAGAAAGTTTGTCTCGGAACGGCTCCGAAACGACTCGACAGATTTCAATAAAAATTATATGGCTTAAAACAGTAATTCTACGTTAAATACAGGTGTTTGTAACATTTCGATATCGTACAGAGTTCAGAAGATACGAATAAATATTTGTGATGTTTTATTATACTCTTTCTTTTCTTTCTTTCTTTCATTAAATTATTCACTTCAAATCCGTTCCTAGATTCACGCCTACCAAGTAGCAGGCATGGTCTTATTCTAGTAAAGAAATTAATAGATAGATATATAACTCCCAATGTAATGACGTGACACTCGAGATCTGATGGCCAGAAGTAATTTACAAACGCGTTATCTACAAACTGCTTTATAATTTGCCCTGGTCTGTTCAAAAAGTTTTATCGCACATGATAACCCTAAATGACCGACCCTGAAAGACCGGAGGGTTCTCTTGATGACTTATGAGAAGGCATGTCTGCTAATGACCCACCGATGACCTATTTGATGACCTATTTGATGACGTCATTGCCCAGCGTTCGGGTATCATGTTGATAACGAAGAGGATTTCATTATGTTGGGGTAATCTTAATTTGAACATAACATTTTGAGAGGAACACAACTAACTTACTGGAACACCAATTTGCGCATTTGTCGAAGTCATTTGCAAAGTTCATAGATGTACTGGAAATACTAGGGATGCAACAAACAATTTCGTATACTAAACATTCAATCAATATCCAACGCACCTAGATATAGAAAAAAATTTGCCATATATATATATAGAAATATTTATGATAAATAGCACAGCTAATTGAATAAAGTCTTTCAAAGTAGTAGGGTGTGTAAATTCATTTCGCTCACGATTTGTGGCAAAGCCGAAACTTATTTCAGTTATGAAATATTAAAACCACGGGCGCGTCCACAAAATTACCTGCAACAAAAGAAATAAATAAATTAGCATTACGGGGCTCCATTATGTTTAGAATGAACCCTTTTTTGCGCTTAAGAATCTATCACTTGAGGGATTTCTCCGTAGATAGCTATATAAATAATGCCAACACTCCGCAGCTTCCGACAGATGGCGCTAAAAGTATCGAACTTGCGGCGTCAGTTACTGACGAGGCCATTTACTTCAAATACTGGCGATTAAGATAACTTAATGGCCTATACGAGTATAAATGATTTGGCAAAATTTTAATTAAATGAGTAAGAAATTAAGGTTTGCATTACAAGGTGGCTAATTATAAATGAAACTAATTTTACGGATTTATCGCGTTTATTTTTCATTTTAATTCCCGACGTTTCGAACCCTTTACAGCGTTCATGGTCACGGGACAGACTGAGGTGTTAGACGTCTGATTGTCATAGTTAACCCGGGCTACCGTCAGTTTTTGAATTATTAATTTTGTGTCCGATCTATGCAGAGGGAGCTAATTGTATCTTGTCTTGCAGTAGT